CTGGAACAGACTTTATGGCATGCTGCAGTCACTAAAGATGAAGAAACATTGCGAAAGAAACAATGCTTGTTCCCCAATGAAAATGAGTTGAATAGTTGCGAAAACCCAAGCCAGAGATTATAAAAATGCATTGCCATTTGGTTTTTTACTAACAAATATTAAGGGCCTTTAGAACTTTAGAACACATTTATTAATATAGTAAATAATAATAATTTGAAACTTATTCCAACTGAAAACTTTGAAATCAGCCCCCATGATTTCATGTAACTTGCATGAAATTATAAAATTCCATTGATTAATTGCTGACATGATAAATACGTTGCCTCTAAATGTGACACAAGTTGCGCGCCTCAAACTATGGAGAAGAATAAAATTAAAAAAATTAGAAATACAAAAGTATACTACAAAATAATGCCCACAATGGCAAGAACCACATCGACAGCAGGCACAACAAACAATTTGTAATTAACACGCGTGGGTCTCAGACTGAGACGATCCAACGAGCGAGAACAAACGCTTTAGAAACACTCGAACAAGTTGATATTCGAATTGATATTCACTTTTGCCACATGGTCCAGTTGCCATACAAGGCAGATCGATCCCCTGTCAGCCTATGCCAAATATACAGTTCTGGTCGAAACCATAAAACAGGTATTAATTATGGAATTTAATTAGCTGCTTTCAATTACAAACTTAAATCTTTAATAAATAAATTTAAAAGTTTTTTGCAGTTTACTTTAAATTGTATCATTAGGTCAAACAAAGGGCAGCGTTGCATCGCAATGATACGCACTGTACGTATGCCATATACACTTGCGCTTCTCCGTAAAAACTTGAACTTGTCCAAAATCGTTCGACTGACTGATTTATATGAATTTTATTTAAAGAATTTGGCCAGAAGTGAAGAGAACAAAAAGATTTACATGCCATGTAAATTGCCTGTCCGTGTCGGGCATTTATTTAATTATTTATTTATAATTAAATTGTTTATTTAGCCGCCGATGCGGTCTTGCCATTTCGGTTGGCCAGGAAGCCAATTAGTTTAGCTTTATTTGGCCTAAACTATTTGACGTTTCTTGTTGGCAGCATCTCTTAAACCGTTTTTACCATATAGCTCAGAGATTTCTATCACTCGAAGAGGCTGAAGTCGTAGGAAATATCAAATGTCCACCATTTTAGTTAATTAAGAGATCACAGAAATTTTTAAATCTCATCAAAAAATGAAAATGATCTTGAACTATATAGAAAAGACAGGAAGGAAGCTGTTGGAATGTAAATAACTTTTAGTTTTGCATTTGGTAAGCTATTATATTTATTTGGTGTAGAGGTCAAAACAAAAAAGACTAATTTTAATGAAATAAAATTGTTTATTATATATACCAAATAATCTCTCTTAAAGTTATAAAAAAATGGCTTTAATTTATCGAATGCCTAACCTAAATTAGTTTTACCCTTTCCATTTGCCTTAAATTCATATAATCTCCACGCTGGCTCTTTTCAATTTCCAAAGAGTTTTTGTGTCGACTTCTGTCTTGTCAGTCAGCCCAAGACAACGCAATATTTTGTAGCTCGGCTTGGCTGTGGCATTCGCTGTTGTTTCTGATGTCAGCTCGCTTTTGGGACCCCATTTAATCTTTTGGCTGCAACATGTAATAGCTCTTTAAAAGGTTCAGAGCCCAAGCACACTCTCAGCTCTTGAATTGGGTCAGCAAAGTGTTATGTATGCGACTAAGTATTTACTTATAGAGCATGTGAGCTGCAAGACTTAAGTCTAGTCTAGTCTAGCCGAAGTTGGTTGGCAGCTAACTTTGTTGAAGGCTTTTTGGGGCATGCCACACATACATCAGGTTCGCAGATGAACACTGATTACTCGGGGTCAAAGTTTACGGGGGCTAATCGTGAGCTAACCAAAAACCAAGTGACCTAACCAAAAGCTAAACTTTTGGCAAATAGGCTTTGGCAGAAACATCGCACAATATCACTCAATTTGCGGTAGGACCACAAAAGCGTTGCCTTTAAAGTATAAAATGGTTTTGATTTTATTGATTTGGTTGCGATTTTATATCAAGGCCTTTATACTAATTAAAAATTGGATACATTGATGTTTTTACAGCCCTAACAAAACAACGATCCTGCATTGTGAGTCCTAATATTTAAGGTTTTTTAAGCAGTCCACACTCCTGAAGTCTAGCGCGTGGCCAAAAACGATCTCCAATTAAATATTCAAAACATATTCCCACCATAAATGTCTCATAAATACACGATTTTTTCTTTTTTATTAGTTTGTTTTTTGACAAAAAGGACACGTAGCTTGGGCAAATGCAAATTTTGACGTAAATCAAACATAAACTCGTACCACACAAGAAACAATTGTGAGACTAAGGTATGCTTAATGTTTAACAAGTGTTGTTTCTGTTCTGAAAAGAAATGGATGGAAAGTAAAATGTTCATATAATTTGAATTATGATAGTGAAACAACTCCTTTTAGCTAAGGCAAAAAAAAAACAAAAAGTGCAATTAATGAATTGCCATGCGTTTCCTGATTATACTCTTTCAAAATCAGCTGGCTCACCTGCTAAAGTGGTGGCACCGGAAGCAGCAGGCAAACGTCAACAGTTGAAGTTGAACCAATGCCCATTACCAGGGCGTGTCTCCATAGCCAACATAAAAAAACCAAATACTCGGCAAAAACCCCTTCTTCATGCTTTGCGGCTAATTAAACATTTTCTGTGTTTTTATACCCTTTTTTGGGGGTATAGTGATTTCATACTGCCGACTTTGCAAATCAACTAATAACTGCGGTTTCTGTAGAAACAATTTAATAAAGATTTTCGGAGAACAGCTGCAAACTACTTTTGTTCGCAAAAATTTTATGAATTTTAAAACAATATCATAAATAGGTGATATACTACAGAATTAATTTAAAATTGAAATATCTTTGTCGAAGTATATTATTGTTGTGAAATATAAATAGTATTCAAGTGTATGAAAAAACCCAATTCTTCACAAGTTAGCCTCTTGTTTTGGGTTTTTTTTCGTTTTTGTGTTTAGCAATTAGTCAAGCATGCACCGTCTAGTCGAATTCAGGAAGATTGTCAAAACACGTACAACAATTTGTTTGAGGAAGCACCCAGGTGAGCACACAAAAATATTAGCTTACCTTTTTTTGTGGGATTTTGTGGGATTTTTTTTTGGTGTTATTATGTATATTTTTTCATTTTGTATGTATTTAATATATGTCTGCGTATGGCACGTGGTAAACCCAATGATGGAGTGATATACACAATGTCACGCCCATTTGCTGCCCATTAGTTGATGCATTAATGTGTAAAGTTTTGATTTTTTTTGTCGTTGGCTCTTTGGCAAGTCATTGGCTTTTGAACTTTGATTCGAATATTAAGGTTATTTTATAAAATAAAAATATAATCAAAATTTAAGCAGAACACATGTTTGTATACTAAGTCTTTTTGGATGCTTGTTTACAGCTATCCCTTACCTTTTTTAACAGATACACCTTACTAGGGCAATATATAAGTCAAGAAATTAAGGGCCACAAATAAAGCACTGAAGCTGTTACAAGCAAGCACAAAAAATGGGGAACGAATAACAATTTGTAGGTCCCTCGAAAACAGCCCACGACTCGTGCCATAACTTTCAAATGCGATTTGTTCAAAAATTTGTAGCGCAAAGAGTTCGAGGAAGAGAACGGCGTGACAACAGTTGGCCATGCTAGCTACCAGCCAAGGAGTGCAACTAATTCGCGAGTCCGAATAAGTCCAAATCCAATTGCAATTGCAATAGCAATAGCAATTGCATTGCGAATGCGGCAGCCAGAGCCACGTTTTTGAACCGTCCGACCCCGAAAGGGTCAAGTGGCGCGTGTAGCGAAAGCCATGGCTAAAACCGCTGCCAGCAGCAGTAGCTAAAATAATATGGCTTATATGGGTTGTAAGGCTAATATGGCCGCCCACTGAAGGGTTTCCGAACCGAGCACCAGCATTCGATCTTCATGCCCCAGTGCGTGGCGAGACCTTACGTTGCGTCTGAACTTGACATGCATATGCGAATTGATATACGTATATATACATATATATACAGCCCCTCGATCTCCGATTCCCAACAAGTGCGTGTTGCCTGAGTGCTGTAGGTAGGGTAGTAATCAGTCTAGACTGCATTGGGCTCGTCCCACGTTCAGCATTGAGATACGCGCATATCGAAAGTGCACTGTTCTAATTAATGGCTTAATTTGATCGACCAACGCTCACCAATGACACCTTAAGGCTGAGAACAATAAATGTTTAATTAGCCAGAGCCACAGGCAGCGTAAAAATATTAAAATAAGGCCCAATTTCAGTGCAAGACCCATAAAGTCTGGTTCAATGGCATACTGAATACGTAACATTCGTTACGTTACGTTAAAAAATGCCGGTTGTATGGCAGCCAAAAGCCGGTTAAAAAAGAGAATTGGTAAGAGAGCGTTCAACAGGGTTGTCGAAGTCTTTAAAGGTCTAAAAAAAAACATTGTTGGCAGATAAAAAAATATATTTAAATTTAATAAACAATTTTATGAAATAATTCATTTGCAATTAGCTGACCATTTCAGGGTTATCTTTTCATTTAAGAAAATAGGTGCAGTGGAGGATATGACTTCATTTGTTGGCGTTTAGCTTACAATTGTTGTTAACTTTTATTGTGCCAGCTCCTTTTTTGAGCAAGAACCGATAAATCAACATTTACAACAATGAGTTGAGCACAGAGTGTAGGTATGTTTATTGTGAGCCCCATTAACTTATCCCCCGCTGAAAAAGTGGAACTAAGCCAAAGAGCAGCTTCAGCTAGGCTCTCTTCTGGCCGAGGAAATCTCTTTCTGGCCAAGAGCCGCTCCCAACGGGGCTGACATCATCGAGAGACCCAGTCTCCGGACTTGGCCAAGTCGACAAAACTACAGCCAAGTGTCGGACGGAAGGCTTATTTAATGCGCGGTGCGAGCGCGAAACTCTTTTAGTACAGCGTTGGCGTGCGAGACAGACGGTTCGGTTTCTGGGCAGCAGCAGTCGCAGTCGACTTTAAAACGAGTTCGTTATAATCACTATAGAGCAAATATTGTGTGTAGACATACACACTCACCTTGCGGTGCCGAAAATAAAAGTATACAAATAATCCAGAAACAAAAACACGAGTAAACATTAAACAGTGGTGCTTGGGCGTTTTGGTGTTTTGTGACTTCAAGTGAAGCCAAGCGTTGAGTGTGAAATGCAAAACTGGCGAACTCAAGACTCAAGTCCGTCTCAAAGACTGAGCAGCCCGAGGAGAGTCCCGAAAAACAAGCAATTGTCTAGAAAGTGAAACACCAGAGAGACAAAAGGAAAAGTCCGAGAAAGGGAAAGGTTGTGGCTTCTCGGGTTTTTCATTTGTCGCTTAGATCAGATGCTCCGTCAGGTGCAACGCTTAGAAGCCGCTGGCCACCAAATACCACCCCCCCGAAGCCCAAAAAAAAAACAGCTGTTACACTCAAAGACAATCGCCCACTGATCATTGAGACTTTTCAATAATTTTTGTCCAATGCCTAGCTGACTACGCGTTTTTCGTATTCATCGAGAGCTGACAAAAATTATTGAAAATTAAAAAAAAAAGAAAAATAAATTCCCCTATACCACGCGTTTTTTTGTTTGTTTAATTCGAATTGCCATTGATTCATTGAGCCCCTTGTCTGTGTGCCTGTAACTGTGTGCGTGCGTGTGTGTGCTGGTGAATACAATCAACGGAGCACGGCGAAAAAAAAAGGAAAAAAAGCGGCCAAGCGACATTGATGCCAATCGCCAGTGCAGTTGTTGTTGTTGCTGCCTCCGTCCGCTTTTTGCATCGGACCAGAATATAATGAAATAAAGCCAAATAAAATATAAGCTAAAACGCCTTCAGTGGACATCGGGCTGGAAAGAGATATCTGCGCAGACAGGTACGTGCAATTCGTCTCATTTTGATTTATTTCAACTGAACTCTGGCCATAAATTGTGGTGTGTACATATATTTTTGCTAGTCTAATAGGCATTGAAACTCACATGAAAATTGCCAGAAACTTGGTGAGAGGCGTTAGGACCTAAGACAAATTGCTGACCAAAAATCGATCAACTAATGAGCTAATAACTATACTCGATGATGCAATAAGTCAGTGAGAAAATTGTTTAGAATTTAGATATAAAGTATAAACATGACTTCTCAAAAAATAATAATTAATAAAAGCTAAAAAGGCAAAATTGATTGGTTTTTATTAATATCGTTAAAACATTAAACATATGTAGACAGAAAACAAGTACTATTATTGGTAAAACATTGAATAAAACTTCCACGTTGAGGTCATTGACTATAGCATTTTCTTTTCACTTGCTGCTAATTTATTTTCCATTCAAATCCAACAAAAATTGCAAATAAAAGAAATACATTCTCTTTTACGCCAAGAAACCATTCCCATAATTATAATTATGTCGGAAATCAGCCATTTCGCCCTGCTCCATTTCAAGCAGCCAACAATGGAAGAGAATATTCTTATGCTTTCCATTGTCTGATTTATAAATTTATTTTTCTCAGTTAATAATTTGGTCTGCACACATCTCGTCTGATATGATAATTTGTGTACCCCAAAGTTGGCCAATTTGTCTTATTACCACCTCCACCCAACTCATCAGGGCTCATTAGGGATCCCAATCAACTATGCATATATCATATATCATGAATCATTAGTATATTTTCGAACAATTGAGGTTCAATGATTCTAGAGCTGGGCATGAGTTCACAGATTGCCCATTAGTCATCAGAATGTCCAGACTCTGGCACTCACGCCATTTGAGGATAGTTGTCTGGTTTTGTTTCTTTGCTTTTATTTCATATATTTACTGCGGACTCTTTTTATGTAGACCGAAACTTCTTCTATATCCAGTGATTTCGCGGACGACAAATGTCGCATTGGGATTTTGTGGCATGCATTAGTGCAAATTACCATTTGGGCTCAAAAGGTGTTGGCCCCAATTGTCACCTCCGAGAGATATTGAAACGGAAAACTGGGCGCGGAACGCAGAGCTTATGGCATATTGCATTACCTCGTCAAAAAGCGCGATAATACTTGATTTCTTTACCTGTATACATGTATATGTATTTTTATGGGCACGCGCCTTCGGGTCGTTTTATCGGTCGTGCTGAATGTCAGAGTTAGAACTTGAGTTGCTCGTGGTTGACATTAAGACCATTTCAACACCACAGCGAGAGACTTTTTAATTAAGCTAAAATTACCAATGGGTTATAGTTAAGTCTAAAATGGGAAGCAGGGATATTTCCATGCTGAAAGGATTTCAAATTAGTCGAGCCTCTCACGTTTATTTTCTCATTTTGTATGCCGAAATTGCAGCTGGCACTTTACTTTACACACCCTTTATGACCAGATAAGGTTTAATGGTGGCTGGCAGCCCAAAATTCAAATTTCGTTTTGTATTCATAATAATTCTGAATGATATTCATGACAATTTTAAATGTGCATCGAAATTGATTTCTATTGTTATATTTTTTTCCAAAGAAATACAAAAAAAAAACGCACAAAACAAAGCCTTTCAAATTATTAGCTTTGGGTCTTGTGGCCGAGGAATAAATAAAATTCTTTATAAATCATTTTCTAGCAAATGTTTCCAATGAACTTTGCCAGACTTTTGCAATTTGTTTGCTTTTCGCAACCAAATATTTATCTTTTCGGGTTTGAGGAGGATGTGCAAATTTGATTCATGGAAAATTTGGATTTAAAGCCTGGCTCAAGGTCTTTTTCAGGCTATGAGGAGCTCAGAAGGCTTGGTTTTCTGGGTTAAAATTTTATTGTTTGACCCATTGGCTTATAAATCCTGGGTTCTCAGTTTTGTTGTTTTTCTTTCAGTCGCCAGCCATAATTAAACCATAAACACCTCAAAACATGCTACCATATTTAACACACAAGAGAACCCCACACAGAGTGGTGGTGACCCACCCATCACAACTGCCAAACGACCCACACGACACCGTTTTCTTGTTTCATTTTTCATTTTTCACCCAAGACAATGCCAAATCATTGAGCAGCCAAAAAACTGCAGCAAACAAACACCTCCGCGAAACAGACAGCGACCACGATCCACTGAACAGTGGATTGGAGGCCCAACCTATAGACATGTTTAATCAATTTAAATTACCTTCAATTAGGCGCTTTGTTCGTGGTTCCGCGGACATTGCGAAAAGTCTTCGGCTCGGCATCTGCATAAATGAAATTCAAATGAGGAAAATGCCACTAACTAATTTGTTTAGATTCCCCGACTCTCAAATGAATGCATGCATATCAGACTTTGAATTGGCCAATGCTGGCAATTAAACATTTAATAGCTTCATTCGATATGCATAATGGACAGAGCTTGAAGGGGGGGTGGGTGGACTGTAGTGGGTGTCGGCTCTGTTTTGGGTTCATAAAAATAATTTGCTAAAGAATAGAGTGTGAACAGATCGGGAAGGGGCTGAGGAAATTGTGAATAGATTTTATTGTGGCTCTGAGTGAGTTTTTGATGTCTTTTTAAGCTGACCATAAAATAGAACAATGCAATAAATAGTACTTGATTTGATTTCATTCAATTATGACCAATAAAAATGTAATAGAGTGTATTTATATCTCTTAGGAGATTTTTTTAGATACTGTAATACACATGTAAATGATAAATTTCGTTATTTTTTGAGTTATTTGCCAGCAGTAACATTTATATTTACTTAGGTTTGACTTAATTGTAAGTAGATTAAAAGATGCCAATATCCTAAAAGCTGCAAAACCTCTGAAAATTTTCATGGCGTGGAAATAGGCTTTGCCAGTCAGTCAAATACGAAAGACTTAGGACACAAACTTGGACAAAATTGGCTTTCGCGAGTGCATACAATTAATCTCTTTATCCAAACTCAGCGAGTGCGCTCTAAGTGAAAGTTTTCCATGGCCAATCGTCTAAATATCAAAGTGTCGTCGCTCGTCAACTGCCACTTTAATCCTGCTGGTACCATTTAAATGAGCCATCAAATCGGCACCCCAACCGAGTCGCGTCTCCCGACTTGTGTCATTGAACCAACAAATCAAAGCCGCTTACCAAAAGTCACACAAAAACTCTTAGTTTGCAGTCGTCAACGCTCAGGATTGATGACAAGCCAAGCAATGCCAAATGACAATTATTTACGCGGCAAAGTGTCATAAAATAGAGGAATGAAAAAGGCTGAAAAAACCTACTACTAAAACCAGAAACCAGAGCCAAATGACAGCGTACAAAAAGCCGAAATGTGTTTATTGACGTCATTCCATGGAGCCAACAAGCCGACAGGCACAAAAAACTTTTAATGTGGAGAAAATCCAGGCTCCGTCCGGGTTTTTCAATTTTTTTTTTGCGGGAGGACCCGAGGGAGTGGACCAAAGCGAACCAGCGCCACCCGCTGAGCCGTAGCCAAAGCCAAAGCCGAAGCCAAAAAATGCCTGCGAATTGTAATAATTGCAAACAATTACAGAGACACTAAAGCGAGGTGGAAAAAATGAGAGTAGTGGTGGCATTTATGAAAAAGACTTTTTGATACCCCTCAAAAGGTCTACGAAACATACAAAACAAGTGCAACTCATACTAAATACTTGATTCCAAAACTAAGTACCATCAGTTATTTATACAAAAAGTAAAGCAATTATATAAAACTCATCTATAGAAAACTTAACGAAAGTAAATAAAAATTGTACGAGCTAACTGGCTCTTAAAATCTATTAATATACGTTTCAGATTTTTACAATCACACATACTTAGACATTTAAGTATGAACAAACCTTATTATTCCAATTCAACTGAAACTGCCTCATAAAACCTAATACCCCTTGCTGAAAATCACTCATTGGATAGCATTTCGCGGACATCAAACTCTGGCCATTGTCTTGTCTGAGATTTTGCCAGAGCTTGTGGAGCATATTTGCCTGATCAGGGGTTAACTTCTTGTAGCTTTCATATGGGTGCAGAGCGACCATATTAAATCCCATTAGTTGAGGGTTCAGTTCGGTTCAGTCCTGACTTGGCTCCTGTCTCATGCTTAGTTTTTTGGTTTTTTGTTTATTTATTTTTTATTTTTACTTGCTTGCA